GCAAGTAGGAACCCTTGCTGTGCAGTCAAAAAGGAACTGGTCAGAAAAGTCCATTATAAAAGGACTGAAGATGCGATTTGCTTTGGGAGCAAACATGGATATAATTACCTCAGAAGTACTGGATATCCAGCACCATCGTACAGTACCTTGAACAGGAGGATTAGGGACATAAAAATTAAATTTCGGCATTTTAGAAAATTTGTTTTTTTTCCTCAAGACAAAAGTTCATTCATTGGATGCTCTTGATAGGAACTGCTGCCTTTTAGTTGACGAAATGGAAATAGCTTCATATCAAGATTTTGATACATCGTCTAAGTCATTCATTGGAAATGTTACGTTAGGAAGCTAAGCATTACACTATTGTAATGCTTAGAGGCCTTAAAACATCATGGAAACAGATTGTTGCCAATGAATTAACAGGGCCTTCAACATCAGGTTCTGACATGAAAGATCTAATTCATAGAACTGTAGTAGCAGCTACAGAAATAGGTTTAACTGTAAGAGCCTCTGTTTCAGATATGGGAAGCAATAACAGAGCAATGTGGTCGTCATTGGATGTGTCTGTCTCTAGGAGAGATAGGAAGACAAATTACAACATTGGAGGACCTGATGTTTTCATTCACAGTATTGCAGATGTACCACATCTCATTAAAAATATGAGAAATACATTTCTTTCAAGTATTATAATATTACCAGAGGAATTTCGCCACCAGCATGCCTTGCCATCGAGGATAGTATCTTCAGTGTATGTGAAACGACTCTGGTCAAGTGAGATAGAAGCAGATGCTGCCCTGAGATCTCTACATCACTTGAACAGAGTTCATCTCTTCCCAACACACTTTTCCTCGATGAATGGGCATCTGCTGTGCAATTGTTTTCTGTAAAAACAGCTGCTGCTATTGAAAAAGCAGGTTATTTTACACCAAGTTGCAAAAGAAGCATTAACTTCTGCATGGTGGCTGAGACTTGTAGCAGAATGGTTTACAATTATGACTACAAGGCATCCAAAAAAAGGCATCACTATCAAAAATCAAGATGAGAAATTTAATATTTTATTGAAATTCATTCATGTGACTGAAACTGTTCAGTTTGGGAAAGCATGGAAGCCATTTCAAACTGGCATTATTATGAGCACATTGAGTGTTGTGAAACTCTCAAAAGAATTATTTTCCGAGGGGTTTACATTTTTCTTACCAGGCAGGTTGACACAAGATGCGCTGGAAAATGCCTTTTCACAGATTAGACGAAAGTTGGGTGCAAAGCCTACTGCTTTGCAAGCCAAGAGAGCACTGAAATTAGTGTGCCTATCACAGTTCATTTCAGATATCAATAATCCAAATTATTGTTCTGAAAGTGACCACAGCCTCTTTGATGCTTCTGAATTAGAGGTTGCTATCAGAAAGGAGGTCTTGCATCCTATCTCCAATTCTGTAGTGCCATCTACCTCTTCTGCAGTGGCAGTGAAACGTCGCTTGCCCCCAGCTGTGGAAGAAAATGATATACATTACATCGCAGGAGCCATATATAATAAGTTGTTGAAAAAAAAAAGCATATGTGAAAATTGTAAAACAGCTATGACCATTTCAGAGGACATGCTGGAACCTGACATACCCGAGCATCGCACAATTCTTACAAAACATAGCAATAAAGGTGGACTGAAGGTCATCTCTTCAGGAATGTATCAAATATGTAGGGAAGCTGAACGAGAATTTCAAAAATGTAAAGATGTACTCCTTCGTTTACAATCAGCCATCACAAAAGAATTAGTTGAAAGAATAATTGATAAATGTACGCATGTGGCCATGCCAGAATGCTGTAATCTTAAGAAAGTAATTATTGATAATTTTTTTATTACTAGATGCAAAGGCCTTACACAGCATCTTATCAACAAAAGAGCCCATAACGTTTCATATTCATCAGCATCGGCCAATAAGAAACAAAAAGTAAAATAATTTTAGAAGGTATGTATGTTTTATATTAAATAATTTATGTGTTTTATGTAATATGTATTACTTTTTCCTAGGCTACGAGTATATAAATTTCTGTGTTTGATGTTATATATGTTACTTTCTGCTAGGCTATGAGTATATTATTATGGTATTATTTTCTTGTTTCTAATATATAGAAATATAGCATATTTTCCAGTATAAAATTTCAGTTAAGTTTTACTTAAAAGTATGGGAAAGCAGATTTGTTTCATGCATGATCTTTATAATACTGGTATGAAATGAATGAATTTTAATCTGTAAACAATTTTTTGTTAATATTGAAATGTGTTTCCTTTGGGTACATTTTTAGGCACTTGTGGATCATGTCAGACAACATGCAATAGAAAAAGATGTCCGTGTGCATAAATTTTTCATTGTGTTACTTCATTTTATCTAAATTTCAAGGATAATTCTTTTCATTTTTATATGGCATGTTATTAGTATAAAGGCTAGTGAAAATAAATTGGTATGTGTATCTGTTTTTGAAGTGTAATGCTTAAATAAAAAGATGGTGTGTGTTTCTTCATTTAAATAAAATTTCAAAGATAGTATTTTTCAGCGTTGTACTGTTTGTTATTTCTCAATGTAAAGGGTAACAAGGGGAAAAAAACTGGTATGGTACATCTGTTTTTTAAGCATGATAATTTTATTTATTTCTTTAGTGATGCATATATATATAGAGAGAGAAGGTATTTGGTCCAACTGAAGTTATAATAAATCTAATTTTACTAGATCTCTCCCTCCCCTCAGGTGTAGAAAATTTTCAAATGCAGAAAGTTTATTTGCAGAATTAATTCATTTCTGATAAACTTATTATCATTAATTTTTTATATACCATGTTATTAAGTTACACGTATGACTACTGTGTAATAAACTTGTATTTAGGGCAAAAAAATTAACTGTTTTGCAGCTGGTGACTAATATCATATGCTTCTAAGAATATTACTTTAACTTTTTTCATAACTTTTTGTATTTCAGGAACATGAAACTGTTATTTTGATATACTTAAATAATAAAAGTGTGTATCTGAATCAATTAATGGATACAAATATTTTACAGTTATTTTTAGAAGATATTTGCCATATCGCTTCTAATAATTCATAAAGTATATTAAAATATAGGTAAATAATTTGGTGCAGAATTCAAATTTAGGGTTTGAAATATAGTGAATCATGAGACTAAATGATTTTTATTGTCATGATTTGCCTGGGCTTAAGAATGTACTTTTCGCCCGGTGGAAATTGTCATCAAACTGTCCTGAACAGGCTTTTTGTTGATAATAACTTCCAGGCTTATCAGTACCTCCTTTTGAGTGGAGGGTATACAAATATAGTACCCAATTTAAATTACATTGTGATTGTAATAATATTGTGGTATTAAATAAGTGATTATAATTACAATTTAGATAATTGCTTGTAATTATATTACATTGTATCTGTGAACTCTTAATTTCATTACTTTATGCAATTATGTTGTAAGTGCATAATCTAATTGCAATAATATAATCTATTCACAATTACAAAATAATTATAAATGCAGTTACATCTTAAATAGAGGCCATTTTAATACTTTTAAATTTTTGCAAGATAACTTCCCATTAAGGTTCATTTGGAGGAAACTATGCAAATACTAAAAAAGAAGTTATGTTAAATTTACATATTTTGTACAGTAGTTTCTTGTTATAATGCTGTTCAATATATCTTCAATACTTTTGTAAATTTAACGACATTCTTTGCAATTACTGTGGGGCTTTAAAAAGAAGTTTCTTAGTTATGCTTTCTAATAAGAATGTGTTAAAAATTAAGTATTATGTATAATAACTAACAATTAAAAAAACTTGACTGCATGAAAATGCTGTTGCTGTGTGTAAAATAAAAAAATAAGCTTTCTTTTATGCTTTGAAATGAATTACATGTGGTTAAGTCGTCCTTTTACAATTTAAGAATGTGGTTAACACACATTCTTAAATTGGACAGGTTTTATCTAAATTATTAGTATAAAATATATAAACTATGAATTATTTTGTAACATAACTCAAATTACAAAATTCATTCTATATACGTTCAAATTTATTATCTTTTATGGAATAACTGTTTTTTAATTTAGGTAAAAATTGGATTTTTAGAAGTATTACAAATACAATGCAACACAAAGGTGATCTGATTGGAGAGGAAGGACTTTTTATTACGGTTTCTAGTTCGTATTTATATTACATTTGGTGAAAAGTCATCCAAAACACAGAATGCTGTACTTTCTTCTTCCATATATGTTATGAAATATTTCACACATTTAAAAGAAAGTGTTTCTTCAGAGTCTTGCACAATTATTTCCATATACCTCAGACTAAAATGACAACATATTCTTAAGTTATTTTTTTAGTATGAATTTACAGTGTTTTTATGGAAATTTTTGTTAAAATGTCATTAAGATAAATTTATTTGCACACTCTACGCTTTAACTATTTCCCCATTTGACACTATTGAAAGTTTTTATTCATATCTTATTTATTTTAGTCTGCTAACGAAACTGAAACATCTAAAGAATAAGTTATTTTGAATATGTTTACAAAATATACGCGAAATTTTTATTTAAGTGAAAACGTCTATATACTATTCGAGAATTAATTAAATTATCCGAAAAGTTTATGTGCGCTGAATGCCGCGCGTCTATAAAATAAATCTTTAAAAAAAAAACAGCAGACATTCAGCCAGCGTGTGCGATAAACGCGCCAAAATTGGTAGCGCGTTTCCTCCCTCGCCAAGAGAGAAAAGTTGGTGATTCAGCCTGGTTTAGAGGAGCCTTACGCCGTAGTAGCCAAAAGTGGGGTAGGCGTTTGCCAGGTGAAACTAGTCGATATTTCCGTGACGTCAAAAATTTGAAAAGTGGGATAGGGTTTGGAAATACGCTTCTGGTCAACACCGACTCTACTAGTAGAGTCTGTGTTGTTCTGGTCCCCATTAACCGCGAAAACCGAGGGATCACTGTATTACTATTATGTAGTAATAAAATTCATAATAATTCATAATCATCAGATGCCCTTTTACATTGCAGTTTGCTTTATCATTGTAAAATATATTGTACCATGAAAATTCAATCGAAGCAAATTTATTAGAATAATTATAGATGCGAGTGCGCTGAAGCTTTTCTCCGAAGAGTATTAAGCTAAACCTTTTCGTCTCACGTTTAATCATTTTTGTTAAATATTAGGCAATTTTTCGAGTTGGTAAATTGGCAACAGCACATCTTTGTTCCTGTCGAGCAATCTTTGTGGCGCTTCGTTTGATAAGCTTTTGGTATGTGATGTGTATTAACTTATTATACCTTAATTAACGGGCATTCACTACATTTTTCGTAATATTTATGTGATGTGTTTTTAAAATTTTCATTCATTATGTAAGCGTCAGTTTATGAAAAATTTTTAGCTGGAGAGTGTGATAAGTTTGTGAAGTGTCATATCACTGAATTAATATTTAAATTTCCAAGTATCTGTTTCTTAAAAGATTTTATTTCTTCGTTGTAATCTATTGGAGGAACTTTTCAAGTTTTCTTGCTTACCCATTGCGTTCAGAATAGTTTCATGATATTTTAACAAATTTTATTTATGAGGAATTAAAAGATATATATGCTTCGTTCTGTCATGGCAGGAAAGGTTATTCATAGCAATGTTAATAATAATTGCAAATGTATCTGGTAAATCTAAAAAATAAAAATATGGGTATTTCTTTTTTCTTGAATTTATTTTTTATTAGTTAATTTTTTTATTATTAAGTAGCTCTTTAATTTGTTAGCAAATGTCAAACAAAAATGTTCAACTGTTACGTTTTTGTTTACCAACTCATAATGTTTAATGAGGAAGCATTGTAAAATTGGAGACTGAAGTTAGTTAGACAGTTAAGTTTGTTGAAAAGGTATTATTTCAGTAGCAGTTCGTGCAAGAGAAAAATAACAGTCTGAAAAGAACAAAAACCTGACTGTTTTCTTGCTAATTGTATTTTTTAAATTCTTTCCTAGTGTATTATTTTTGTCATCTTCAAACAACACCCCCATTGCTAAATTAACCTCTTGCTAGTTATTCTATGTCAAATCCATCCTTTCATCACATGCACATTATGTTGAATGATGTCAATAATTTTATTGCGAAAATAATTTTTTTATGCTCATTCAAAAGGAAAATAGCTTCTACACTGAAAAGAAAAAGATTTTGATCACTTTCTTGCTAACTGGAATTTTTTTAATCATATAAACATTTTGCCCTTTTATTTTACTAATTCTAAGAAACAAAAGACTGCCATATGAGTGAAGTAATAGTAATGAAAGTGATGAATAATGGCTGAATAATTAAACCTTTTAAGTACTATTAATTTTTGCCAAGTAAATTTTTTGGCGAGTCATTGAATAGGCAGGCAACATGAAGTTTCTCTTAGTCTTTGTTACATAAATATATACTAATTTTCCTTAGAAAAGCCCTACACAAATGTGTTCCTTTCCATAAACAGCTAGTTCTAGTGTTTTAACAGTACCTATGAGCTGTAAAAATTGATAAACAAATTCGCAAATGCGAGTTCACAAAAACACCGATAAGTTTGTGACATTTTGTAAAATGCAGATGATCTGAAAGTACTGTTATTATGTTTCCTGATGAGATCAAAAGTCAAAGAAAATTTGGAATTTCTAGAGCAGTCTGCCAATTTGAAAAGCTAACCTTCCAGCACACGTGCACGTTGTATTTTTTACGACATCTGTTATTTTACCGTTTTTGGCGGAAAAAATGACAGAAAGGAGTGAATATTGATAATAAATTTGTCAAAACATAAAATATTAACCTTATTACTGCAAAATACATATGATGTCACGTTTAAAATGATAGTAAATTATTTTTAAACATTCAAATCAGTCAGGTGGAAAAGCAGTGATGTATTTCATTATAAAAATGTAAAAATTTATTATTTAATAACTATATCTTAAAATCCAAGTTAGTTTTAATATTCATCTGTCCTGTTCTGTTGATTTATCATCGAAGCGAAGACAACTTGTCAGCAATAAAAATCTCTTGTAGATCATCACACCTTTTGTTATTTCAATTTCAGTGCCATCACTTGAGAACAATTCTTTTGCATTTACATGGTGTCCTTTTTTTTTTTTTATTTCTATCATATATAATAATTCAAATTAGGCTATCATTTCCACTCGGGTAACAGTGATATTATTCTCGCATCCAAAAGTTTCCTTGTCTTCTTTTCCTTCATCAGATAATCCTTGACAAATGCGAGCAAAATCAGCTGGTTGCACATATTTTTTTTTTTTTTGCCATGAAAACTGATATAAAAATTACTCGAATTTATATAAATTAAAATAATACACGTCAATTAATAACACAAAAATTACAAAATATTTGAGAAAAAAATATTTTCCGAATTTTCTCGTGCGACAACGCGCATGTCATAACTTTTACGAAGAAGCTGCCATGTAGCGCAAAAGCCCAGTAAAAAAACAAAAAATGTTGTATAACTTCCTTTTGGCACATTCCATGAAGTGGGGAAGGGTTGAAAGGAGGACTACAAATGAAATTCAGACGTCTCGGCTGCGATATGCGAAAAGTGTGCATTAAAAACCGAATTTGTCGTAAATTTTATGCATAGCATGCGTGCTGGAAGGTTAAGATAAAAGATAACATTGCTATGTTTCGCTTTTAAGTAGCATATTTTGGAATATTTTTTAGATTTTATTGTTACCAATAATAAATGTTATCTTGCTTTTAAGAATTTATATATCAATCTCATCAAAGCTTTAGATCAATGACTTTTTTTTTTTTTTTTTTTTTTTTTTTTTTTTTAAGATTTCTTTATTTGAAAAAAAACTGTGGACTTGGTAACAAAAGTAATGTTAATGTCATCCTACATCATTTCTATTGAAAAGTTGATCTCTAACTGTTTTCACTATTTAATTTAGATTTTTTGAAAAGAACTTTCTCATAATTCTAATTTTAATTATGGAATTGAAAGATAAAAGTGTTTGGGCAACATAAATTAAATAGTCGTAGTTTTTTTATTCAAATGATAGTATAATATATTTCTTCTGGTTTTAAACACTGATGTTATCATCGACAATTTGTTGTATGATGCAGTAAAACAGTGATTTTCTTCCACCAATGAATATTGAGCCCAACTGGTAAGAAATATTGTAAAGGTGGCAAAATGTATTTTGTATTGTTATTGGTCGGAAAACTCATCCAGTTCTCTAACATTATTAAAAATAGATTTGGTGAATCTGATTTTTCTCATGAATTTTTGCGAGCTTAATTTTCAAAGATTTACAAAATGTTAACTTTCTGTTTTAGTTAATGATAAAAAACTTAGCCTCTGTTTGTCATTAGCGTGTAAAGAACTTTATTCTTGGATGTTTTTAATTCACTTTTCTATCAGTAAATTTCATTAGGAAATTTTATTTTCTGTCATCTGGTTAGAAACCTGTAGACCTCTTCTCTGTTCTGACATAAGTATTACTTTGTTTTATTTTTGCATTCACAGTTAAAGAAGGTGATTCTGTTTGACCTGGGAATTAACAATTCTACCTATTTAGTTATATACTCTAATTTGTGCATTTTGGTTTCTGTATCATAATATGTTAAATACAGAATAATATGCAATACAGACTAAATTCATATGTAAATACAGAAATGTCAGAAGTTGTAATATACTTCTAATATATACGTCAGAAGTTATAATATTTATTAAACAAAAAATATATAATCTCAATAAACTACATTTTAAATCAAACAACAAAAAAGAAAATTCATCTTATAGCTTCTAAGCTCTACACAAAGGAAATGGTCACTTATCTTATTTAGAAATTTCCGTGTCTTCAGTCTATGGCACACAAAATTCCTTAACAGCATACAAAAACTTCCTAAAACCATCCTAAATTTATCTGAACTAGAATCTGCATACTGTGTTGGCACATAAATTCACAAAAATAAGTGTAAAAAATACAGTCCATACTGCCAGACTATCGGTGGCATTTTTTGCTTGAACCTTTCTTTTGAACGATCTTTATGTTCGACCACACACATTTCCTTCGTACAAACAGGACACTTATAATGGCTGCTAAGTAAACCTTCATTTACACACCAGTCAATGCTTTTTTTTTTTCACTTTTGTTCCAAATCGTACAGAAAGTTCAAATTAATCTTACCACATTCAGCCATTTTAACGTGTAAACCACAAAATAAGTATCGTACTTCTTAACCAGCATCTAACACAAAGAAGCCTTTACAAATCTTTTCCCCATCAGTCAAATTCACCACAATCATGCAACCAATTACATTATAATGAGGTTTCCATAACGTTCAACTACTCGGGTTACCATAAACGAAACAACTTAGTGATAATTCAAAGGGCACTGTTAAATGTAGGCTAACCTTATTCGCTTTATACAAATTAAATTTAGTTTTTAAGATGAATTTTTAGATTGTATAATATTTTTTCATGTATTTACATGCTTAATCTGAAATTACTTTTGTTTTCTGAATTTGAATGATATTGCAAATTAGTTTGCAGCAATAATCACTTTGTTTCCAATTGAATTTACATAATTAAAACATTTAATTTGCTTTATATGAATAAGATCTAATATTATATTATATTGTATTTATTATATATATAAACTCAAGTTAATAAGCAAGAAATTTAAAAACATAAATGGACCTTAAAGGTAATGATCTACCACTATTGCAGATAAGACTATAAATTCAATTAATTTTTTAATTTTTGATTATCTCCTAGAAAATTAATGAAGAATAAAATTATTCAAACTATAATAATTAATAGAACTAGAGTAAATAACGTACAGTGGCTCGCAGAAATGATTGGACACGTTTAATTTTTGTGTTCATTAAGCCCTTCGAGCCAGGTAGCAAAAATGCGCGCTAATCGCGGAGGCCGGCAGTGTCTTCCGCGAGCGTCCAGGGCCAGGGGCTTTTTTGCTACTAAGCCTATTTAAATGGCTTATGCTTTATAGATATATATATATATATATATATATATATACTTTAATTACCTTATTTCTTGTTTAAATGCATATTTTACACATTTTATTTTAATTACTCACCATTTTATGACTTTTAACATTATACATCTGAAAACTAAATATATTACTTAAAATTCTCTTTTCGTATGAAAATTTGAAAACGGGGATCTACACACAGTCCTACGTTACATTCCTTGAACTCCTAATAAATCATTTGCCGTTTTGGAGGATTTTAAAAAATTTTCTATTGTGGATGACCATGGAGAAG